TTCCCCGGGGCTGTTTTCGTCCCAGATTGTCTCGCATTTCACCAGAAAACAGCTTATTGTATGCATTAAAAAAAAAAAAAAAAAGCGCTTGAGTTAACATTCTTCACTATTCTTAGGAAAAGTTGTTCTAAGGAATGAGATCTTACGATAAAGACAGTAGTCCATTTCATGTTCCGAAAGGATTAACTGCCGCCTCGCTCGAAATTATTCGAGCTGTTTGAACTCGAAGAAGTCAAAGTGCGCCACAACACACTGAACGGCTCCAGATCAGAGCTCGGGAGAAGGGGAATAATTTCCCTTTGCTGTTTGAACTTGACGAAGTCAAAGGTGCGCCACAACAACTGAATAACTTCAAATCACAGTTCGGGAGAAGGGGGAATCATTTCCCCGGGGCTGTTTTCGTCCCAGATTGTCTCGCGCGACAAAAGGCCAGCTCTCCGACAACAGCATGGGAAGCATTTGTCCCAAGGAATCCGACTGAACAAATTGAAAATTCCTTTTTGTCAGATCGTGCCTCCTTCAATTTGCCCTGAAGTCATCAGTGCGGCCCGCTACGAACTTTAAGCGCTTCCAGATTGAAGTTGCCCCGTGGCACTCCGCGTTGCGTAATCAATCTCCTTCTCTGTGTGCACCGAGTAACGCTGCACATCAGGCCCCCGAGCATGCAGCTTTTTCATTATAGCCCCAAAGACCGTTCATCATTTTAATGGATGTATATTTGATTTCATCAGGGTTATTTGTTAAGGCTGGTTCTGAAGTTTGTCACTGTTGGAGCACCGCCTTTCGATACAGTGGGGATCTTCCGTGAACATTTGGAGGGGTTTTCTCACAGCCAAGGTTCCAACCTCAAAATGTTTGGATTTGCCTCGCCGAATTTTGTTGAAAAAAAATGTGAATAAAATCGATGTGTCTACCACATACGGAAGGAGAAGTTTACAGCTCAAAATGAAACAGTCTGAGCCTTCACAATTTGCATGCCCGCCTGCGAGTGACATCACATGAGCACCATGTCACGTTTTGACCACATGAAAAATAACGATGGAAGCAAGGAGAGTAATACGAATGTACGTCACACACTTTGCGCTGTTGACAAAGTGTTATCTAGCTTCAAAAACACGACCGGTGCGTCGAATTAGAAATGAAAAAAAAAAAATGGATCGCCACAAGGCTGTGACAAGATGACATCGCCCAATTTACTCAAAGCATTTATAAACAAAGTTACATCATAAAAGTTAGCTTACCATGACAATATCAACAGTCAAATATGTCAGGCCAAAACATCCATCCATCCATCTTCAACACCGCTTATCCTGAACAGGGTTGCGGTGTCACTAGAGCCTGTCCCAGCTGACTTTGGGCGGGAGGCAGACTACACCCTGAACTGGTCGCCAGCCAGTCCCAAGGCACATACAGAGACAAACAACCATTCACACCCACACCCGCACCGATCCAACACTGCCCGCACACAAGTCAGGCGTGTGTACCACTACACCATCAGCAACAGGCCAAAACAGACTCAGTTACTTTTTCAAGATAATCATGGCAAAGTGGGTGCGTAGAGGACGGCGTCACGTCAAATGTGGAAACCGAACATCGAGAAGCGACCATACAGTGAAACTCCTCTACAACGAAACCTACATGGGCGAAAATACCCCCTAGTGTGAAACACACACACACACACACACACACACACACACACACACACACACACACATGTGTGTGAGATCAAATTTGCTCCAGTGAAAAACCCCCCCGTTGTGAAAATTTCTTGCTGCAAAAATGATTTCGTTGTCGAGGAGTTTCACTGTATAAGATACAATTTTCAATCTCTCGCACCGCATACCTAAACCTTCACTCTACCATGGAATCC